AAAGCAGCATGGGCAGCAGTAAAGGTTATATAGCAGAAGCATATCTTCCTGGCATTTGACTGTCAGTGTGCCATTTAAAGGCTCTGAAATCTACTGACAATACTCTTCACCTGTGGTGAGGAGGGGCTTTTTTTACCTCAAAGATGAATCGGAGCACTTCAGGTGAGTCGCAAAATGGTTTTCTTTCCAAAAAAAAAAAAAAAAATTATAGTGACATGAATGTTTTGACCAACATATATATCAAGAGAGAGATTAGTTTTTGCTGAGGTAAAAATATTAAGAAAAAATTGAAGAGGAGGTTAATTCGGAAAAAAAGGAGGAGAATAGAAGGAAGAAGGAGACAAAAAACTGAAGAAAAAGAAGAGTCAGGAGATGAGGAGGGCAGATAAGGAAAGGAGAAAGAAAAGGAAGAAGAGGAGGAAGTTGAAAATGAGGAGGAAGTAGAAGAAAAAAGTGGAAGATAAAAAGAGTTAGAAACAGAAGACAAAGATGGGGAAGAGGAGGAAAAGGTGACGAAGCAAAAGAGAAAGAAGAAAAAGGGCAGGACGATGAAGATATAAAAGAAGAAGCTCACGTAGTAGAAGACAAAGAAGAAGTTGAGGAAAAAAGATGAAGAGGAGAAGACAACAGCAGAGACACAAGAGAAGGAAGACGACAATGAAGGAAGAGAAGGAAAAAATTCACCCAACGGTAACGACAGGAACATCAACGCTGATGAACTTTGTTGAAGACGTCAGGTGACCAGTGAAATGTCACGCATGATAAATGTCACCAGGGACGAGAGTTCGAACCATCGAGAACTGATCACTGGTTTAAAACTGAGAGACAAACGTACAGTGATCAGCTGACGACTATGGATTTACAGACACTCAGTCCAATCACTCATCACTGGTTACTCCTCCTCTCACCGTCTCACAGATCAGACTCACTGATTCTCTGGTTGCTGGTTTGAAGACCCAACAATCCCTCTACTGTCACTGAACAGATCATTCTCCTGGGACTTGTAAAAGACTTTTATTTAGAAGACTTTTATTCAGCACCGCTCGCTCCGTAAACATATTTTCATGTGCATTAAAAACTGACAGACTTTACAGCTGACGTCAAATTTAAAGTCCAATGTGCGGAGCTCGGTCTGGGTTCTCCTGGCCTCACGCCCCGAGGTTTGGACCGTTTTTTATTTTTTATTCCAGTCTGAATAAAGAACAATTGTCTGACAAAGACTTATTCACCTGTCTCTCACACAGACTGGAGTTTCAGGACAAACATCCATACGTTTTCAACATTTTTGTATCATTTCTGAAATAGAGGTTCTTAATTTTTCAATTCTATTCTGTCAAAAAAATGTTCTTATAATAAAAATCCATCACAGTTTTCATATTCTAGTAAGTTGTAAATTGAAAAAGTAAAAAAAAAGTAAGTGTCCTCTGTGGGAGACATGTCCAACCCTGTGTTCAGAACTAAGGTTAAAAGGATCGAAAACTGTTTCATCTCAAAGAACTGGAACAGGAAATGAGTCCAGAAAATAAATGTCCATTTTTTTTTATCCCTTGAATTATTCACCTGAAAGGAGGTGAAGCTAATGAGAATTAAAGAGCGCCGCGGTCCTGACGACTGCACGGACTTCAGTTCCACCCGGGCTCTTTTTCACCATCACATCTGTCAATACTCGTACTCCAACCCAGTCTGGCATAAAAGACGTAACGAGTCTTGTTATTTTTTGTTGGAAACTTTTAAATTTAAATGTACTCCGTTTACAGTTTAAAAAAAAAAGAAAAAACCTTACTTCTGAGTTTTACTGCAAAATGGGTTCTGATTTTGGAGTCATGATTTTGTGTTTTGCCTAAATATTTTCACCTGTCCCGAAGGACAAGGGTGAGTCAAAAAGTTCTAAGACAGACAGTTCCGAGGGAGGGGAGTCACGTTTCATCAGTCAATTGATGACAAAACATCAAATATTTAACTAAGTTTTGCATCAACTTCCTTTGACTAAAACAGATGATATGAAAAGGAATATAAAACAACAACAAAGATTCTTTCAATGTGTCTCATACCATGTAACTGTACCACTAGATGGTGCTACATTCCACACAGCATGTCTTTAACTGAGCTTCTGTGAATGAACATTTTTGTTTCATTAACTATGAGTGTGTTTTTGTTGACGACTCCTCCGCCCTGCTGGACAGAAAGACGGGGATCAAACCACCAACCATCTGGTGACCCTGTCGTAAGGCAAAAATCACTAGCCACTGCTCCATTGTTTACCCAACGGCAGCATTTTTAAACACAAAATTACATTTCCCTTGATTAGGGATCGTCAAAAAACAGACGGACCTCCCGCTACGCTGCCCCCTATTGGACAACAATCGTCAACAATCTGAATGGCCTGAAAATCAACTGACATATCGCACCAATAACATCAGAATAATTTAGACTTATTTTGATGTTCTCACTGTGATCATGAAACGCACAGGTGTCTTGGGGGTCTTCTGTGAGATAATTGTTGATCACAATTAAAAATAAACAGCACCAGGAAAGATAATTACCACTTCTGTAAAGAGTGGAAATCTGTGGGGTAAATCAATCGGGTTGAAAGAAATCACAAACAGATTTCTATCACTTATGAATATTCAGACTCCTGGCTCCACTTAAGTCGAGAACTGATAACCTCTGCATCAGGAACAAATTAGCAAAAATATTAAAATGGCGTATCTGCAACCATCTCAATTAAGATGACACAGTGATTGGCCTTGGGGATTGAAGTGTTATTGCATCTAATCTTCATGGTAAATTTACTTCTGTCACTCAAATAAATAGAACTAAGAACTCCTGAGACATAATTGAGATAATTGAAAAAAAAAAAAGACCGTAGCACATGCACGCGCGAATCAAACCAGACGTAAAATAGGCATAAATCGGCGCCCGATTTAGAAATGACATGTGCATCGGAAAGTCAAAAAATCTAAGATAAATAATAATATTTTTTTTTATGAAAAAATTACGAAACTAAAAACTTTATAACTAAACTAAATATCCAGTTATAACTGGAAGACTGTATAGATCAGTTATGAAAAAATTACGAAACTAAAAACTTTATAACTAAACTATACAGTATAACAAGTTATATACCAGATCATTTGGTACCGGGCCGCAGTGGGACACAATGAAAATATGTTCTTAATTTTTACTAATTAAAGAAAAAAAAAAGGTTAGGAAACTCTGCTGAATGGGCCACACAAAATGGCTTGGGGGACCACATTTGGCCCCCGGGCCTTCGGTTGGACACGTATGATTTAGAAGAGAGCTGTTTCTTGGTAGAATTCTGGTGAATGCCTTCATCACAAACTTCTTGAGTTTCATTTTTTTTATTATTATTATTATTGAAATCCTACAGGAGATTTTCTTTTAAAGACTTGTTTTGTGCTTGTGCCAAACTGAACGTGACAATTCAACGACCCCGTCATTCAGTGGCGCAGCTGAGCAGACACACAATCCCGTTCTTATCTGCCCCCGGCCTGCGTTTGATTCTAACCGCACGCAGATCTGTCTGCGGCCAACTCGTTCTGGTCCCAAGCCTGGATAAATCAGTCACAGATAAACAGAGAGGGTTGCGTCACTAAGACCGTTTGGCACATCACGGTGCAGATTAGGTGCCAACATCACAGAGAGGATTAGCCGCGGCGGTGACCCCTGACAGAGCGAAAAGCTGAAAGTCCTTCTCTCTTTCTTCTCATTAACGGCCCTATCATAAATTACAACAACAGCGTAGTTCCGCAGGTTCCCTAAACACATCACTCACCAAATCAATTATGCTTGTTAAACATGCAAATATCTCCGGTTAAAACTTTTATACCGGCGACAGGAAAATTCAGCCCAGAGTTAGAGTTCTACCGCCTGATTATTTGGAAATAAGAAAAAAAACAAACTGATGTATTTGAATTTTTTTTGTTTTTTTCAATTTTTACCAAATCCATTGTTTACCTGGTACATATGGGGCAACTTTACTCTAAACCCAGGGAATGATGGCGAGCAGATTTCTGTTGCACTGATGGATCATTCCCTGACGACAGCATTTGGTTCAGTAAAGAAAGGAATTATCAAATGGTCAAATTTCTCCCACGCACCCACAGTATGGACTGTTTTGTTAAAATCCTTATATGTTTATTATGTTAAACTGATGATAAGACACTGAGATCTTAGTCTGACTGAATTAAAGTCATTAGCTGTGACACGACCATCAGTCTTTTTTTTTTTCTTTTGCAAAAAAATAAACATTGAATTTGTGTAAACATTGAATCTGGAACCAACACAGCTTAATATTATAAACACATGAGAAAGAAAACACACATCAGTGGAATTTGTTTCTGATTTTGTCTCTTCATCTGTAGCCTTTCGAGTTCCTCTTTAGTGTAAATCTTTTTTTTTTCACAGACAAAAAACCAAAAAAAAAAGAATAGTATATGCATTAGTTCACATTTGATATGATTTCACGGACCAAATATAATTGCACTGCGGGCCAGCTTTGGCCCCCGGGCCTGAGTTTGACACATGTTATCTTGAACACCAACCATCACAACAATCCTATAAACTGATCATTTCAAAGTGGACTTTAAACTTCTGGTGGATGCGGGACTCAGGTAAAACATGTGTCACCTCTGCAGCACATTCCCTCTGCATTAAGTCTGTGTTCTTGGCTTCTTTTAACATGTTCATCAGAGACAACGGAACCCCCCCCCCCCCCAGGGAAGGCTCCACACCTCTCATCTAACAAGTATCCAGGCCCAATTCCTTTGTTGACTCCACAAAATGTTGCCGCACAACATCACCAGGATGAAGTCACCGGAGAGCAGCGGTGGGCTGCCTCAGAGCGAACACAGCTGCGATGAACTTATCAAACTGATGTGAACCTTTTAACGATACAGTGCAGCCTCACAGGCACCGCAGCACAAACAAAAAAAAAAACAGAAGCCTGAAGAAAAAGAAATACTCCAAAAAGGTCTTACCTTTCCGAACTGTTCGAAATACTGCTTCACATCTTCAATTACCGTGTTGGCTGATAATCCTCCCACGAATATTTTCTTTGTTCTTGTGACCATCTGGAGGGAGGAAAGAACAAGAGCAAGAAAATGGAGGAGGTTAGCAACAATTCACTCCACGAAGAAAGAACACTTCGCAAAAAAAAAAAAAAAATACTAATGATAATTAGAGACGATGAGTATAACAATGCATCAATCACTTATTAATTAATCTCAAACTGCTTATCCGTTCAGGGGCAAATGGCACAGAACACCCCGGACAGGTCAGCAGTCAATCAGAAGGCCAAATTAATTCTCACATAAATTAACTCGGATGATTTAAAGTCTACAATGAAGCTAATTACCAAGCTGCGAGTCTTTGATTTTTTTTTTTCAGCAACAAACCAGAATATCTGGGAAAAAAAAAAAACTCCAGGAAAACAAGGGAGAACATTCAGATCCAGCTCGAAATAAAACTCTGTTGATTGGTTCTATTATCTCTGCGTCTATAGAACTCCCATTAAAAGAATACCATTAAAGTTCATGAAGAAAAAGTCCAGAGAAGTGGACGACGCCGGGCCACGGTTCAGGAAACGTTGTTTAATCTACTAGTCATCGTCATAAAAAAAAAAAAAGTTTCTGAAGACGATCGTCTGGTCAGCGTTCACGGTTTATGGTTCATTTTATTGAATTTTAATTAAAGTGCAGTTAAAACGGTCACTTCTACGACACTGCTGTGAAAAGAAATGTTGCTAAGAGAAAAACAAAAAGAGGCAAATTCCCTTTTGAAATACGAGTACTTTATAACTGCACACGTTTCTAGTATGGTAGTAGAAATGTCCGATAATATTGGCGGCCGATATTATCGGCTCCATATTAGCATAATTATGTAATATTGGTAAGAATCGGTATCGATTGATATCAGAATCGGAATTTAAGTGTTTGGACAATATCGGCATATCGGATAATGGCAAAAAGTTAATATCGGACATCCTTATATGGCACATATAGTGAGCAGATATACGTATATATATAATGAAGACCCATTTACGCATGTCCACAAGGTGGTGCTATTTATGAGTTTGGAATTGATATGGTTCTTTTTCAGGTTTCTTGACGAAACACACTGTGTGAAAACTAAAGCCTTATATAACACTCAGTCAGATTTTAGAAATATATACAGTATATATTTATTTATAT